CTCTTCCAGCTCCCAAACTGACTTTACAGAATGAAGTGTGAAAGGCTATTAAAATCAATCTGCAGCCACCTACTAAATTTACAAAGAACATTTAACAGATCTCTCTTCCCTATGAGAACAAAGAGAAAAACTTAAAATAATATTAGCATAAAATAACCCTCATGGCAGAGGTGGTGTGTGTGTTTTTGTTTTTGTTTTTTTTTTTTTTTTTCAAACCTGCAAATAAAAAGGAACATAAAGCTTCACACTTTGACCTGACTTGTAAGAAATCCACTTTTTTGTGTCCATGATTGTTGTTTCAAATCAATATTGTTCCCTTACAGCTGTTCCACCTCCTTTTTAGCAGTCCAAACAGGCTGGAGCCTCTGCACGCATCATGAAGTTATATGTAAGACTTTGATAAATACGATGGCAAGGATGCAAACTGAAGCTGAGTCATTTCTGTCAAACAGTGTTTCAAAGACTGGAAGGCCTTGGGGATGTGTAAACACATGACACTTGTATATGCTGAAGATTGCAAATACTCACTATTAATAAATGAGCCAATGGTGATTCGCTGCATGAACAGTCTCAGTATTAGCTCAGCGCTGAATATATACATGACCCCATTTTCATGACATCATAAAATCCCTTTAATGTCTAGGGCTAATTGCTTCTTTTTCTGGAAGCTTTACAATGAAAGAGAAGATTGGCAGCTTGCTGCTTTAATGTCAACTCTGTTGCTTCCATCCTGCACCACTGACTTAAGGAAGGTCCTTTGTCTCTACCTCTACATTTTCTCACCTTTCCAAAGCACCAGCTTGTCACTTCATTAACACCAAAAACTGTAACATAGGAGAATTACCCAGTCTTAAGTTGGTGAGTATATATGACAAAGTTGTTTGGTACAAAGGCCATCTTCATGTCCTCGACTTGACACGTACTCATCATAGTTTAACCCCTGTTCATAACTGGGCTTTTTGGTGCTGCAGTGCAAATGAACACATAACGTAAAATGATAGACATGCTACTGCAGAGGACGGGCAGCCCACATGAAAAGAATGCAGGTATCTCCCCACCTCATTTCAAGAATAAATTACTATAAATAGTAGTCTACAGAGACAGCTTTTTACCTGAGGAAATCACTTTAATGGGAAATATTTGGTGCAGGTCAAAGAAGGAAATTTAATGTGGTTTCAGTGTCAAAAGACAAGAGGCTTACTGAGATTTCAGACCTTTAAGTAGTTTTATCCCTAGATAAAGAAATGTTTCTTCATGAAAATCCTAAAGAAAAAAAAAGCACAAAGCTTTTGAGTGTTTGAAACCTCCCAGTCCCTCTTCCTTAATTGTTTCAATTACCATTTAGAGGAAAAAACTAAACCAGTAATTAAACTGTTCATTAAACCAATGATACATATAGTATTCAAAGCAAGTTCTTTCAAATGTAATACTCTAAAACAGTGATAGCCTTTTGACAGCCCTCAGTGATAGCAATCACAAAGAACCATTTGAAAGAAAAACTAATAACAATTCAACCTCCCTAATTATTTCACTCCCACCTTACCACTTCTTAACATCTAGGTGTTCTGTGTCATTTTGGGACAGGAGGCTGTCAAAAACAATGCCATCACTGAGACTGCAATCATGGTAGTCTCATTTGTGTGTCTCACTTTAATGAAACGGTTTCATTTGATCTTGAGTGATGCAATGAAGATTTTATTCAAGGATGAATCTCAGACTGCACCTAATTCCTATTGACCCCACGTATGTAATTCAAGCATGCTTGTGTTTAGCGGCACAGTCACGTTAACTGGGGTCAATTATACTCTGATAACAGTGAGAAATGGATTTCAGTAATAGTAGTAGGGAGGAACAGCTTTTCTCCCAAATGCTACACAAATGAAGGACATAATTTTTTCCTCTGCTTTCGTTTTTAGTGGCACTGTGAAATGTCATGTATTTCACTGCATGCCTTTCACATCCTAAATATCCTGGACTTAGCTCAGACTTCTGAGTATCATTCAAATTATGTAAATCTTGAGGCTTACATGTAAGCTCTGTATCCCCTGAAGACACTGTCTACTTCTAAAGCATTTCTTGCCAATCTCAAATGTTCGGAATGGAATGGAATGGAATAGAACAGCCCAGTTGGAAGGGACCCACAAAGGTCATCGAGTCCAACCTCCTGACCACTTCAGGGCTCATCAGCAGTTAAAGCACATCCATGAGGGCATTGTCCAAATGCCTCCAACACCAACAGCCCTGGGGCATCAGCCGCCTTGATAGGAGGCCTGTGCCAGCGTTTGACGACCTCCTGGTGTGAACATTTCCCTGATGCCCGGTCTGACTGGCCCCTCTCACAGGACAGGCCTTCCAGACCTTTCACTGACTGTCTTGCCCTCATCTGGCTGCTTTCAAGGACCTTAACGTCCTTGTTATGTCGTGGAGCCTAGAACTGCACACAGGACTCCAGGTGAGGTTGTGACAACACTAAATATAGCAGGAAAATAAACTGCTCCAAACCTCAGCATAGTATTTTCCCTGGTATCAGTTAGTCAGCTTGTCCTTTTCAGGCTATCAGATGCTGATGTCCAGCCACACTGTGCTCTTTACAACGAGGCACATAACAATTGCCTGTCAGGAAGACAAATAGAATTGGTTGGATGCCTGGTTATAAGTAATTAATTATAGATGAGATATCATCCATAAAAGAATAGGACATTCTGTCTTTTCTCCTTTCATATACGAGCTGAAATACAATCGGAGTCATTAGTTGGTATCCACTAGTAGGTATGGAAAATAGAAATGTCATCCAATTTTCCCTTCACTAAAAATTCCCCAGAATGTTTCCTGAAACTGTGTTCTCCTAACTCCACGAGATGACATTATGACACTTGGACTGACCAGTGAATCCATGTGAATGTGCAGATCATGGGCATGATCAAACTAGGGTACACCATTTCATTTCCATACACTTAATAGAAGTATTAGATTAAGCTTTGATTTGAATAAGCCTATCTAATTTTAGACATGCATACAAGTAGTGCCTCAGATATGAATGAAGATGAGATTACACTGTCAGTATGATGAAGCTTGCTCTCTATTGTATGAGTTTTCTTTGTCATCATAGAGAGGAAGCAAACATTTTTCTCCCCCATAACTGCTCTAAGAAGTCTGTGAAATAATTTAATTCCATAAAGAAGCCAATTATATATATCACACATTGTACAGCTTTGGAACTAATACTGATGCTGCTCGTTAATTTCTAAAAGTTGTTAAATTGCACATTATTTTAATTAAACAAAGTAATCTAACAGGCACTGCAGATGTGACTGGTACGCATTTGAAAACTTTACAGTTCCTCATTCAATATAGTCATGCCAGAAATGATGACAATGTGGTGAATAGAGCAATCCAGATGATACAGATCAATAAAGAAGCTTTTTATGAGCAGCCACTGCAGCAAACAGGCACGATGGAGGCATAAGACTATAAAATCATTTTTTCTTTGAGGTTACAGTTGAGTTTAAAAAAGTGAAACAGGCAAGGTCCATTTTTACTGAAAATCAGTGACAATTAGAAGTGCAAATAAAGGCTTTGGTTTTAACCAAGGGACAGAAGCAAAAACAGGGTGTTTGCAGAGTGTTTTAATCTTAACATTATTAAGTATTAATTCAGTGGTGTTAATATCACTGCTTTTTCCTAAACACTGCAACACACATCCAAGACTGTATAAATGGCTAATTGACTCCTAAAATGTGGACTTCTTGGAAACAAAACTTGATTAATCTTTGAGATTGGTAACAAAGCCCAGTGATTTTTAAAAGAGGTATAGGAAGAAGAGCTTCTCTGTACATTTGCCCTTCCCATGTTCATCAGTGTGGCAAGTATCTTAAAAATTTACACAACTCCGTATCGGCAGGCTGCCAAGTAACTGTTTCACCTCTGTCCTCCCTTGTGTATAAATTCATCTTCCTGTGTATTCTCGTAGACATTTCTCTGTGTTTCCCTCCAAGAGCAATGCACCTATGCAACTAGCTGGCAGAGCAAGGCAGTTGCTGAGATAGCTGCTGCCAGTTATTGACAGCTTTGGAAAATCAAGGTCATGAACTTGACCTGTGGACTTATTCAATAGGCAGCCAATAAACGGAATAATTAAACTGAACCAGAGCATTGTGTTTTTTTCTGGCTTCTGTTGCTGAGCAAGTGAGCTACGTTACCCTATGTTACCCACTGCCTGCATTTCCTGAAATGCACAGTCATATATGATTACGGCCAGCTTCTCGCTGATAAACAGGACACTGAAAGGTGGAAAAGATTCAGAAAATTTCATGTTGCAGATACTCAGAACACCAGATACTCAGATACTCAGAAATGTACTGAAGATAATTCAGATACTCAGAAATAGATAAAGACTAGAGAAAGCTACCACAAAATACAGAATTTATGGAATTTTTGAGCTTGAATCTCACTTACACTGAACATTCAAATTTTAAATAAAAATACCCTAGTGGTAATTTGTTGCTTCCTCAGGAATATTACAAGAATGTCATTCTTAGAACCAAAGGGAGAAGTGAAATCCTTTTTCATGGGTGACTGCAATATTTTGAGATCTGATTTCATCTGTACATCAAAGGTCCCAAGGCAATCTCTTATATCACCTTTTCTAGATCTGCCTTTCATTCCCAATTTTGAGTACTCTGAAGAAGGAAGTCAACAAGAAACCAAACAATCCTGTTAAAACAGCCCACTTTCAAACTTCTCGTGTGTAGAATATTAAATCTGTAAGAAATTGTCTTTGGTTATCATGCACTTTGCATCGTGCTAACATTATTTATTGGATTATCTCTCTACAAGTCTAAAAACGGTTTTTATTTATTGTGCAGAACTAAGAAGAAAGAAAACCAAAACCTCAGAAGGGACTATGACAGAGAAAATATTTCCTTTAGGATAAAGAACTCAATGTAAATATGCTTTAGATACAAGGAGAACACTCAATATAAGGCAAAAGAAAAACATACCTGTGAAAAGCCGATCACCTCTCCATTTTCATCGAGCACGTTGAAATTAATGATTGGACCCTGGACATCAGGATTGCTGAAATCTGTGTCACTGTAAATACGTACTACAGGTGCCCCATTGGCATATTTTAAGGTAGACAGCACATTATAGGTGTAATGAGCGAGCGCAAAGGTGTGTTGTTTTATTTTCTCCATTCCACCTACAAAAGAAAAGTGCACAAACATATCAGATACCTTATTTTTATGGAAATGTAAAAAAAAGTAGATTTTTCAGAATAGTATAGTTGGGAGCTTACTAGCACAAAATTGGTAGGTTTTGGTTTCTTTAAATGAATAAACAATTTCCAAATATTTCTTTCCTCATACACAAACTTCAGAAGTACTGTTACACCAAGTATTTATCTGCAATTAATGTACTGGAGAATCTGAAGTTACACTGAAATGGATTCATGTGCATTGCAACATTGATATTTCCAGTCTATACATAACACTAAGATGTTCTGGCACAATTAGTTTGAAAAACAGGTTTTGCTCCAGATTTGGCTCTGCAGGTCATAGGAATGAGGCATCAATCCTAGCACACCGCAGAGAGCAAACTGCTATGTGTAAGATAAAATAAAAATACTAAAATTCTAAATAAAATGATAAAATAGAGAAATACAGATCTTAGCCTACAAGGAATTAACTTGAATATTGAAGAAATATTCCTCTAAGCCTGTTCTTTTTTTTTTTTTTTTTTTTTTTTCCCCAGAAGAAAAAGAATGAGGATGTTGTGAACATCTCACTGACTGCACCCATGCAATTTATTTGCTTGAGAGAAGTTCTGCAGAGAAGTTTTTACAGACCTTGGCCTGGAAAAAAGCATAAAGGAGGGATATGTTGTTGTTGTTCTTCGCCTTTTTTTCTTGCTACACTGAGCAGTTTGGAAAAGAGGACTGCACAGATTTCCTGGCAGGTGGAGACCTGTACTACATCTCTGCTTTCTGAGGGAAGGTTGTGTCTCTGCTAGATGCCCCTATCAAAACGGTTTCTCATTCTCATGCTTAGAGGATATACCATAGGATGATCAACCATGGTCGTGTATGGCCTCCGGGATATTTCGATTCTCTGCAGGAAACTAAAACATAAGCCGATGAAGCAGGTTGTGATATTCACTAGTATAAGCCACTGCAAGGAGACCAGCTACTGGGTATGATACTAAATACCATACAAAAAGAGGAATAAGAGCATGATTTAACAGGCAGAAGTTTGTCCATGGAACAAGAAAAGTACAAGTAAACTTCTAAATAAAAGCTGAAACCCAATGAATTTGCATCTTTATGGAAGATAATTAGACTATAACAATATATTTTAAGCAACTAGATATTTTAAGCAACACAGGGAGATGCATGGAAGGCTAACGTGTTTCACCACAATCAAATCTCCACTGAAGAGAGTTGAAGTTTCGTCTGAAAACCCGAAGTGGTTTCTATTATTCATACTATATGTTGCAGTATGATAGCCCTACATCTTGTGAAAAAAATAAATAAATCTTCAAAAGCCTTGTGAGGCAGAATAGTGTTTTTCTTCCTCAGCTTTAGGCCCAAAGTATTTTCTGTAATGGTATCGTATTTGAGGTATGTGAACATTTCTGCAACTTAAAAAGATGCTTGACATCTTCTTTTACTTCCTTTTTTAAACTGCTTATCTATGAATCTCACACCAACTTATGTGCTTACAATCGTTATATCAGAATACCATTTTTGTATCTGAATTTCTGGAAACTTCTAAAGGCTGATAGAATTCCCCTTCCTTGGACAGAAATCTGGTCGTTGACTTTTACACATTTACTTGTAAAAGTCATTTATAGATGTATAAAAAGGTAAGAAAAAAAAAGAAAGTTATCTTTCTGCTGACATATAGAAGAATTACAGAAACTTCTGTTATTTCACTCTTCTTGCAGCTTCTATATTGTGTGCTATCTCCTTTAGATAAGTGAGGAGAGCAGACAGTGAAAGCATACAAACAGATTAGATATAAGGTGGAAGCACATGTTTTTGTTGCTAAAGAATAATAAAGAGGAATAAGGTTTTTAATGAGATTCTAGCATATGAAGCACTTTCAAGGAATGTTGCCAGAAGCTAATCAGTACAATTTCTAGATGTTAGCCACAGTAAACTTGGCAGGCATCTCTAGAACACTTTGGTCCAAAAGACAGTTTGTATTTTCAGAGTCTTTGAGAAGATTGCCTAGTAAGAGATGTTCCAGTCATTGTTTGGTAGAAGTTAAGAGCATTGAAATTTAAAAAATGGCTATTTCTCAGCAATTGCCAGAAAGTAGCTGTCTTAAGAGAAGTGGCTGCCTTGTCAGCTTCTGCGATGTCTGTAATCTCCTGATTCAGAGCTTTTCCAAATTGGCAGGAATCTTTTAATGGAAGATTAAACTACTGTCGTCGTGTCTTGTTGAAGAAATCTCTTATTCAGAAATTTCAGTCTCTCATTCACAGCAATCATCCTGCTATCATTTCTATATTGTTTTCAGCCATTCTCTTTTAAAGTTGCTTAATCACATTTCCTTGTTCATTAGTGAGAGGCTGATGAGCCTCTTCATTATTTATTCTGACAAATCCAAATGCAATACCCTGCAGTTGCTTTGCTGCCCCATGATTGGAGAGAGGAAGCAGTGTTGCCAGGGTCCCATATTTTTAAGCAGCAGAATAGGTTGTGATTAGGTCTGATGTCAAAAACCCTGTGAAACAAATGCCAGCAATATGAAGTTTGTTCTGGCAGAAAAAAAAAAAAAAAGGGTATATTCGGAAAATAGTTGTGATTTATTTTTATTTTGCTAAACAAAACGATCTGTACCGTCTCCTGCATAAATCCTGTGTGCTTACCTCATCTCCCTCTACCCACTAGGGAAAAAAATACGAGGGAGAGAAAATAAAAAATATCAGAGCAAATCTTTGGCCTCTAACATGACCTAAGGCCTTGCATTATTGCATATAGTCTCACATTTGGGGTGACAGAAGTTAAACTCATTGCTTGACTGAGCCTGTCTGAGGTAAACGAGAAGATAATATTATGGTTGACTTGACATCAATTAGCACGCTGCATGCCTGCATTTTGTCTACTGTCTTTACAGAAACCTGTCTTTATACCTAATGCTTTAGCTCTTGGAGAGTACTTAGAGAATTGTCCCTATCTGCCTGTTTTGGGGCTAAAAACAGCCTAAAGTACACAAGATGAAGTCTATCTAATATTATTTACTGTATTTACATGTGACACATACAGCATCATGGATGCTCACAGTGCACAATTTGCACTCATTAATGGCTTCTTCCTACTGTACAACTGTAAGGATTTCCCTGCATAAATAGAAACTCCTTCATTTCTATGGATTAACATGCCTCTTATTACTTTTGTTCCTGTGTGTACATTCTGAATTTACATCAAGCCAGACACAATCGGATCATTAATTCTTCTCCTAGTTCACACATCAGTTTACACACTATTTGTTGCCACAATGAACATCATATACTTTTGCAGCAGCAAATTATTGAGCAGAAGAGATTGAAAAAGAAAGCTTTTATTTTTGCGTACAAACCTCCTTGCCAAAGTACTGTATTTAACCCACAAAGATGTTGTTAAACTTCATCACCAGAGCTTGCTGCCTATGAAAGCTTTTGGTCCTTTTTTGGAGGCAAAGAGAAATGTTCCCTTTCTTCTAACTACAAACAGAGAATAGATATATCCAATAGATACTTCTTTCGGAGTCACATGATTTTAGAGGCACTGCCCAAGGATCTGTTGCTATTATATTCCAAAGCCAGATCAGTTCATTCGAATCAGTAAAGCCCTATTTCTTGGAAACGTCCAAGCGTGGCAACTGCTGAGGATCCACTTGGTCAAAACTCAGCAAGACAGGGGATGAGAACCTATTAAATTGCTATTCCTTGCTTTTTTTTTTTTTTTTAAAACTAGGAAAATCTGAAAAGGAGAATTCCTCAGGTCTCATTCATGTAGCTGACATCTGTGTGATATTCTGAATTCAGCAGTGGCATGTCAGTAGACCTGCCAGCCACAACTCAGAATTCAAGGTCAGGTTTAACATGCCAGAAGGATTAATTTTAGCTTATAGTAAAAGTATTTGAAGCTCAAGGGAAGAAATCCAGAGAATATTATACTTCATTCAGAAACAAAAACACATGCAGAGTAGTAAAAGTATACATTTCTGTTCCCTCTTCAGTGCAACAAACTATTATACCTGAATAAATTCCCAGTATTCACAGCAGGGAAACAGTTACCATTTTATTTCCAAGCAAATATGGCACAAAACATGGAAGTCAATAGGAATTCCTGCTTGCTTCCTCTCTTGAGCTGCTTTCTTGGCACCCTTACACACTGTAAGCTCCCATCCCTCCAGCAGCAAGTTTGCAAAGCAATGAAATTGACTGAGAGAGAATGCTGTTCCCTACCTTTTAGGGTATGCACACCTATTGCGGGATAACCCACAGATAAATTTACAATGTCAGCCTTTTCATAGTAGTTGCACGTGTGCATACTCCTATTTACAGAGACTATGGGACAGTTTAATTCTCAGGAAGAGACGAGCAAGATACCACGCACTTACAAGTAGGTAAGAACAGCGCATTCAAGCTGTGCAAGATGCACGACTGGCATCAAGGTACTCTAAACCCACTGCCTGGCCTCTGTTGATAAATTATTATATTTGTATGGCCTCTGTCTTATTATCTGTTTATTACCTTCAAAATAGAGTAAGATTTTATTTTTCCAGTGGAATTTTATGTATGGTATTTTATCTAATCAGAGAAATAGAGAGACGAGATACAGCTGTCCTCTAAGTACTCAATGTAGAATACTTTTGAGGTAGCATAGCCCTAGTTTTGTATTATATAAGTGTCATACATGTAATGGCATACATTACAAAACGGAAAGCAATCTCCTATCTGAAGCAACTAGAATTTCAGTAGCTCCAATGTTCAAATGTTAGTTCTTCCTGAAAGACCTGTAGACAAACAGGCATATGTCAACATCTGTAAAAGATTTTGAATAAAGAGATTAAGATAAAGAAGAGACTGAAACTGAGCCTCTAGAATGAAAGCTCTGGTGCTTCAGAGTTTTCAGGCTGCACTCAGGAACGTCTGTGATCTGCATCCAAACACGTTTCTTATCTCTCTTATTATGAGAAATTAAATACTGGA